CGCCCATAGGGATCAATGGGGCTCCCATAGGGATCTATGGGGCGCCCCATAGGCCTCACCCCTGCTGTGGGGCTCCAGCTCCCGCAGCTCCCGGCACCATTGAGCCTGCTCCTGCAGCAGCCCCGCCTCGGCCACGCCCACTTCCGGCCTGCCATATATGGGCATGAACAAGGGGGCGTGGCCTCTTCAAACCACGTCCCCTTTTTGCCTTATATGGTGTTGTAAGGGGGGGCGGGGCTTACCAGAACAGCTCCCGCGCTGCGATTGGCTGCTGCCACCAGGCCTCTTTCTCGCCTAGGGCAGAGGGGGCGGAGCTTAAAGGGGGCGGGGCTTAACGTGATTGGATGGGAAGGGGGACGGGGTGGAGCTTAAAGGAGGCGGGGCTTAAGGTGATTGGATGGAAGGAGGGGGCGGAGCTTAAAGGGGCGGAGCGTAAAGCGATTGGACGAAGAGGGGAAGGGGCGGGGTTTAAAGGGGGCGGGGCTTAACGCGATTGGATGAGAAGGGGTGGAGCTTAAAGGGGGTGGGTCTTAAAACGATTGGATGAGGGGGGTGTGGCTTAAAGGGGCGTGGCTTAAAGTAATGGGGGGAGCTTAAAGGGGGCGGGGCTTAAAGCGATTGGACGATGAGGGTAAGGGGTGGGGTTTAAAGTGAATGGACGAGCGAGAAGGGGCGGAGCTTAATGGGGCGGGGTTTAAAATGATTGGACGAGGGGGGAATGGGGCGGAGCTTAAAGGGGGTGGGGCTTAAAGCGATTGGACAAAGAGGGGAAGAGGCGGGGTTTAAACGGGGCGGGGCTTAACGCGATTGGATGAGGGAGAAGGGGTGGAGCTTAAAGGGGGCGGGGCTTAAAACGATTGGACGAGGGGGCGGGGCTTAAAGGGGGCGGGGCTTAACGTGATTGGACGAAGGGGGGAGGGGGCGGAGCTTAAAGGGGCGGGGGTTAACGGGATTGGAGGGGCGGAGCTTAAAGGGGGCGGAGTTTAAAACGATTGGATGAAGTGGGGAATGGGCGGAGCTTAAAGGGGGTGGGACTTAAAGCGATAGGACGGGGGAGGGGGCGGGGCTTAAAGGGGCGGGGCTTAAAGCGATTGGATGAAGAGGGGAAGGGGCGGGGTTTAACGGGATTGGAGGGGGCGGAGCTTCAACGGGGCGGAGCTTAAAGTGATTGGACGAAGTCGGGGAATGGGCGGAGCGTAAAGGGGGCGGGGCTTAACGTGATTGGATGAAGGGGAAGGGGGTGGAGCTTAAAGTGATGGGGGGCGGAGCCTAAAGGGGGCGGAGCTTAACGTGATTGGACAAGGGGGGAAGGGGGCGTGGCCTCGCACCTGATTGGAGGGTGAGCTCGGCGGAGGCGGGGCCCGGCGCCCACGTGACCCGGACGTGGAGGGCGGAGGTGGGCGGGGCCGGGGGCAGGTCCAGGAGCTGCCAATGAGAGGGGAGGACGTGGTCAGCCCCGCCCCCCCCCCCGAAGCCCCGCCCCCTCGGGGAGGCCACGTGACCCCTTGGATGCCCCCATTGAGCCCCATTGAACCCCACTGAACCCCATTGAACCCCATTATAACCCATTAAACCCCATTGAAACCCACTGAACCCCATTATAACCCCATTGAACCCCATTGAACCCCATTATAACCCCATTAAACCCCATTAAACCCCATTGAAACCCATTGAACCCCATTATAACCCCATTGAACCCCATTGAACCCCATTGAACCCCATAGAGCCCCATTATAACCCCATTGAAACCCCATAGAACCCCATTATAACCCCATTGAACCCCATTGAAACCCCATTAAACCCCATTGAACCCCATTGAATCCCATTATAACACCATTAAACCCCATTGAACCCCATTGAAACCCCATTAAACCCCATTGAAACCCATTGAACCCCATTATAACCCCATTGAAACCCCATAGAAACCCATTGAACCCCATTATAACCCCATTGAACCCCTTTGAACCCTATTGAACCCCATTGAACCCCATTATAACCCCATTAAACCCCATTGAACCCCATTGAAACCCCATAGAATCCCATTATAACCCCATTAAACCCCATTGAACCCCGTTGAACTCCATTATAGCCCCATTGAGCCCCATTGAACCCCATTGAACCCCATTATAACCCCACTGAACCCCATTGAAACCCCATAGAACCCCATTATAACCCCATTAAACCCCATTGAACCACACTGAACTCCATTATAGCCCCATTGAGCCCCATTGAACCCCATTATAACCCCATTGAACCCCATTGAAACCCCATTGAACCCCATTAAACCCAATGAAACCCCATTGAAACACCATTGAAACCCCATAGAACCCCATTAACTCCATTATGACCCCAATAAACACCATTAAAACCCCATTAAACCCCCATTGAACCCCATTAGAACTCCATTAGCTCCCAATAAACCCCTTTAAACCCCATTAGGACCCCATTAACCCCCATTAAAACCCTGTTAATGCCCATTAAATCCTATGAACCCCCATTATAACCCCATTAACCCCCATTATAACCCCATAAAACACCCATTAAACCCCATTAAACCCCATTAAACCCCCATTTAACCCCATTATAACACCATTACTCCCTATTAAACCCCATTATCCCTCATTATCCCCCCTTACTTCCAATTATAACCCCATTATCCCCCATAACCCCATTATACCACATTACCCCCGATTATCCCCCATTACCCCCATTATAACCCCATTGAACCCCATTACTCCCCATTATCCCCAATTATAACCCCATAATAACCCCATTAAACCCCATTACCCTCATTAAACCCCATTATAACCCCATTACCCCCCATTATAACCCCATTACCCCGCAATATAACCTCATTAACCCACATTAAACCCCATTATAACCCCATTATCCCCCATTACCCCTCATTACCCCCCATTCTAACCCCATTACACCCCATTATAACCCCATAACCCCCATCATAACCCCATTACCCCCCATTACAACCCCATTAAGCCCCATTATAACCCCATTACCCCCCATTAAACCCCATTAAACCCTATTACCCCCATTAACCCCCACTATCCCCCATTACCCCCCATTATCCCCCATTACCCCCCATTATCCCCCATTATCCCCCATTACCCCCCATTATAACCCCATTACCCCCCATTATCCCCCATTATAACCGCATTACCCCTCATTATAACCTCATTAACCCCCATTATCCCCATTACCCCCATTCTAACCCCATTACACCCCATTACCCCCCATTATCCTCCATTCTAACCCCATACTAACCCCATTATCCCCCATTATAAACCCATTAAACCCCATTGAACCCCAATATAACCCCATTCTACCCCAGTATAACCCCATTAAACCTTATTAAAACCGCATTATCCCCCATTACACCCCATAACACCATAAAACCCCCATTAAACCCCATTATAACCCCATTATCTCCCATCATAACCCCATTGAACCCCATTATAACCCCATTACCCCCCATTACCCCCCATTCTGACCCCATTGAACCCCATTCAACCCCATTATAACCCATTAAACCCCATTATAACCCATTACCCCATTAAACCCCATTATCCCCATTATCCCCAATTATAACCTCATTAACCCCAATTATAACCCCATTAAAACCCCATTACCCCCCATTATCCCCCATTTAACCCCATTATAACCCCATTACCCCCCATTATCCCCCATTATAACCCCATTATAAACCCATTACCCCCCATTACCCCCCATTATCTCCCATTATAACCCCATTACCCCTCATTATAACCTCAATAACCCCCATTAAACCCCATTACCCCCATTATAACCCCATTAAACCCCATTACCCCCATTATAACCCCATTAAACCCCATTACCCATTATAACCCCATTAAACCCCATTACCCCCATTATAACCCCATTAAACCCCATTACCCCCATTATAACCCTATTAAGCCCCATTCTAACCCCATTACCCCCCATTATCCCCCATTAAACCCCATTGCCCCCCATTACAACCCCATTAAACCCCATTATAACCCCATTACCCCCCATTATCCCCATTATAACCCCATTATAACCCCATTAAACCCCATTACAACCCCATTATAACCCCATTATCCCCCATTAGAACCCCATTATACCCCATTACCCCCCATTACAACACCATTAAACCCCATTACCCCCCATTATAACCCCATTACCCCCCATTATCCCCCATTACAACCCCATTAAACCCCATTATAACCCCATTACCTCCCATTTCCCCCCATTAAACCCCATTACCCCCATTCTAACCCCATTAAACCCCATTAAACCCCATTATAACCGCATTAAACCCCATTATAACCCCATTATAACCCCTTTACCCCCCATTAAACCCCATTGGAACCCCATTAAACCCCATTAAACCACATTATAACCCCATTAAACCCCATTCTAACCCCATTAAACCCCATTATAACCCCATTATAACCACTTTACCCCCCATTAAACCCCATTGGGACCCCATTAAACCCCATTCTAACCCCATTAAACCCCATTACCCCCCATTAAACCCCATTACCCCCCATTAAACCCCATTCTAACCCCATTAAACCCCATTACCCCCCATTAAACCCCATTCTAACCCCATTAAACCCCATTATAACCCCATTAAACCCCATTATAACCCCATTAAACCCCATTACCCCCCATTCTAACCCCATTAAACCCCATTAAACCCCCATTAAACCCCATTACCCCCCATTAAACCCCATTCTAACCCCATTAAACCCCATTACCCCCCATTAAACCCCATTCTAACCCCATTAAACCCCATTACCCCCCATTCTAACCCCATTAAACCCCATTACCCCCCATTAAACCCCATTACCCCCCATTAAACCCCATTCTAACCCCATTAAACCCCATTAAACCCCATTAAACCCCATTAAACCCCCATTCCCCCCCCTTTCCCATCCCATAATACCCAGGTCCTACTGCTCCTCGCCCCCCCCTCAGCCGAACGCCAGCTCCCTTCCATCGGGGGGGCTCCATCCAAGCTCACTTCCAGCTCCGGACCTGCCTATGGGGCAGGGATGTGTGGGGCACACCCCCTAACCTCTCTATGGGGGCTATAGGGGTGGGTTATGGGGCAGGGGGACCCCCCCACTCACCACAATGGGGTTCTATGGGGTGTTAAGGGGGGTTAATGGGGTCCCAATGGGGTTCTATGGGGTGCTAATGGGGGTTAATGGGGTCCCAAGGGGGTTTAATGGGGTCCCAATGGGGTTCTATGGGGTGTTAAGGGGGTCCTATGGGGTCCCAATGGGGTTTAATGGGGTCCCAATGGGGTTCTATGGGGTCCCAATGGGGTTCTATGGGGTGTTAAGGGGGTTCTATGGGGTGGGAATGGGGTTTTATGGGGTCCCAATGGGGTTCTATGGGGTGGGAATGGGGTTTAAGGGGGTCCCAATGGGGTTTAATGGGGTCCCAATGGGGTTTAATGGGGTCCCAATGGGGTTCTATGGGGTTCTATAGGGTGCTAATGGGGGTTAATGGGGTCCCAATGGGGTTTAATGGGGTCCCAATGGCGGTTAATGGGGTCCCAATGGGGTTCAATGGGGTCCCAATGGGGTTTAATGGGGTCCCAATGGGGTTCTATGGGGTGGGAATGGGGTTTAATGGGGTCCCAATGGGGTTTAATGGGGTTCTATGGGGTTCTATGGGGTGCTAAGGGGGTTCTATGGGGTCCCAATGGGGTTTAATGGGGTCCCAATGGGGTTCTATGGGGTTCTATGGGGTGCTAATGGGGGTTAATGGGGCGCTGAGAGGGTTCTATGGGGTGGTAATGGGGTTCTATGGGGTCCCAATGGGGTTTAATGGGGTTTAATGGGGTGCTAATGGGGTTCTATGAAATCCCAATGGGGTTTAATGGGGTGCTAATGGGGTTCTATGGGGTGCTAATGGGGGTTACTGGGGTGCTGAGGGGGGCTATGGGGTCCCAATGGGGTTTAATGGGGTCCCAATGGGGTTTAATGGGGTCCCAATGGGGTTCTATAGGGTGCTAAGGGGGTTCTATGGGGTCCCAAAGGGGTTTAATGGGGTCCCAATGGGGTTTAATGGGGTCTCAATGGGGTTCTATGGGGTGCTAAGGGGGTTCTATGGGGTCCCAATGGGGTTTAATGGGGTTCTATGGGGTGCTAATGGGGGTTAATGGGGTCCCAATGGGGTTTAATGGGGTCCCAATGGGGTTTAATGGGGTCCCAGTGGGGTTTAATGGGGGGAAAGGGGGTTCTATGGGGTGGGAATGGGGTTTAATGGGGTCCCAATGGGGTTTAATGGGGTCCCAATGGGGTTCTATGGGGTGGGAATGGGGTTTAATGGGGTCCCAATGGGGTTTAATGGGGTCCCAACAGGGTTCTATGGGGTTCTATGGGGTGCTAATGGGGGTTGATGGGGTCCCAATGGGGTTTAATGGGGTCCCAATGGGGTTCTATGGGGTTCTATGGGGTCCCAATGGGGTTTAATGGGGTCCCAATGGGGTTCTATGGGGTGGGAATGGGGTTTAATGGGGTCCCAAGGGGGTTTAATGGGGTCCCAATGGGGTTTTATGGGGTGGGAATGGCGTTTAATGGGGTCCCAATGGGGTTTAATGGGGTCCCAATGGGGTTCTATGGGGTCCCAATGGGGTTCTATGGGGTGTTAAGGGGGTTCTATGGGGTCCCAATGGGGTTTAATGGGGTCCCAATGGGGTTCTATGGGGTGCTAAGGGGGTTCTATGGGGTCCCAAAGGGGTTTAATGGGGTCCCAATGGGGTTTAATGGGGTTCTATGGGGTTCTATGGGGTGCTAAGGGGGTTCTATGGGGTTCCAATGGGGTTTAATGGGGTCCCAATGGGGTTTAATGGGGTCCCAATGGGGTTCTATGGGGTGGGAATGGGGTTTAATGGGGTCCCAATGGGGTTTAATGGGGTCCCAATGGGGTTCTATGGGGTGGGAATGGGGTTTAATGGGGTCCCAATGGGGTTTAATGGGGTCCCAATGGGGTTCTATGGGGTGGGAATGGGGTTTAATGGGGTCCCAATGGGGTTCTATGGGGTGCTAAGGGGGTTCTATGGGGTCCCAATGGGGTTTAATGGGGTCCCAATGGGGTTCTATGGGGTTCTATGGGGTGCTAATGGGGGTTAATGGGGCGCTGAGAGGGTTCTATGGGGTGGTAATGGGGTTCTATGGGGTCCCAATGGGGTTTAATGGGGTTTAATGGGGTGCTAATGGGGTTCTATGAAATCCCAATGGGGTTTAATGGGGTGCTAATGGGGTTCTATGGGGTGCTAATGGGGGTTACTGGGGTGCTGAGGGGGGCTATGGGGTCCCAATGGGGTTTAATGGGGTCCCAATGGGGTTTAATGGGGTCCCAATGGGGTTCTATAGGGTGCTAAGGGGGTTCTATGGGGTCCCAAAGGGGTTTAATGGGGTCCCAATGGGGTTTAATGGGGTCTCAATGGGGTTCTATGGGGTGCTAAGGGGGTTCTATGGGGTCCCAATGGGGTTTAATGGGGTTCTATGGGGTGCTAATGGGGGTTAATGGGGTCCCAATGGGGTTTAATGGGGTCCCAATGGGGTTTAATGGGGTCCCAGTGGGGTTTAATGGGGGGAAAGGGGGTTCTATGGGGTGGGAATGGGGGTTAATGGGGTCCCAATGGGGTTCAATGGGGTCCCAATGGGGTTCTATGGGTTGCTAATGGGGGTTAATGGGGTCCCAATGGGGTTTAATGGGGTTCTATGGGGTTCTATGGGGTGCTAATGGGGGTTGATGGGGTCCCAATGGGGTTCTATGGGGTGCTAAGGGGGTTCTATGGGGTCCCAATGGGGTTTAATGGGGTCCCAATGGGGTTCTATGGGGTGCTAAGGGGGTTCTATGGGGTCCCAATGGGGTTCAATGGGCTCCCAATGGGGTTTAATGGGGTCCCAATGGGGTTCAATGGGGTCCCAATGGGGTTCTATGGGGTGCTAATGGGGGTTAATGGGGTCCCTATGGGGTTTAATGGGGGGGGGGGTTGGTTATGGGGCAGAGGCCCCCCACTCACCACAATGGGGCTGGAGAAGGTGATGGCCAAGGTGGGCTCGTCCCTATGGAGGTATAGGGAGAGGAGGCGGGGGGGGGGCAAGGCTGTGGGGTGGGATGGGGGGTTAAAAAGGGGGTTCTATGGGGTGATAATGGGGTCCCAATGGGGTTTAATGGGGTTCTATGGGGTTTAATGGGCTTCTATGGGGTGCTAATGGGGCTTAATTGGGTTTAATGGGGTCCCAATGGGGTTTAATGGGGGGTAAAGGGGTGCTATGGGGTGGGAATGGGGGGCTATGGGGTTCTATGGGGTGCTAATGGGGGTTAATGGGGTCCCAATGGGGTTTAATGGCAGTTTGGGCTGGACCAATGGGGTTTGGGGTGGGTTTGGGCTGGACCAATGGGGTTTAATGGCGGTTTGGGGTGGACCAATGGGGTTTGGGGTGGGTTTGGGCTGGACCAATGGGGTTTGGGGTGGGTCTGGGCTGGACCAATGGGGTTTGGGGTGGGTTTGGGCTGGACCAATGGGGTTTGGGCTGCACCAATGGGGTTTGGGGTGGGTTTGGGCTGGACCAATGGGGTTTGGGGTGGGTTTGGGCTGGACCAATGGGGTTTAATGGCGGTTTGGGGTGGACCAATGGGGTTTGGGGTGGGTTTGGGCTGGACCAATGGGGTTTGGGGTGGGTCTGGGCTGGACCAATGGGGTTTGGGGTGGGTTTGGGCTGGACCAATGGGGTTTGGGCTGCACCAATGGGGTTTGGGGTGGGTTTGGGCTGGACCAATGGGGTTTGGGGTGGGTTTGGGCTGGACCAATGGGGTTTAATGGCGGTTTGGGGTGGACCAATGGGGTTTGGGGTGGGTTTGGGCTGGACCAATGGGGTTTGGGGTGGGTCTGGGCTGGACCAATGGGGTTTGGGGTGGGTTTGGGCTGGACCAATGGGGTTTGGGCTGCACCAATGGGGTTTGGGGTGGGTTTGGGCTGGACCAATGGGGTTTGGGGTGGGTTTGGGCTGGACCAATGGGGTTTAATGGCGGTTTGGGGTGGACCAATGGGGTTTGGGGTGGGTTTGGGCTGGACCAATGGGGTTTGGGGTGGGTCTGGGCTGGACCAATGGGGTTTGGGGTGGGTCTGGGCTGGACCAATGGGGTTTGGGGTGGGTCTGGGCTGGACCAATGGGGTTTGGGGTGGGTCTGGGCTGGACCAATGGGGTTTGGGGTGGGTCTGGGCTGGACCAATGGGGTTTGGGGTGGGTCTGGGCTGGACCAATGGGGTTTTGGGGGCGGGCTCACCCTGGGACAGGGCACAGCGCAGGTAGATCCAGGCGCTCTGGTCATGGGGGTCGGTGAAGGCGGCGTTCCGGACCAGCTCCAGCTCTGGAATGGGGGAAAATGGGGGAAATGGGGGGAAAATGGGGAAAAATGGGGAAAAATGGGGGAAATGGGGGAAAATGGGGGAAAAGGGGGGAAAATGGGGGAAAATGGGGGGAAAATGGGGGAAAATGGGGAAAATGGGGAAATGGGGGAAAATGGGGAAAAATGGGGGAAAAATGGGGGAAAAATGGGGGGAAAATGGGGGAAAATGGGGGAAAAATGGGGGAAAATGGGGGAAAATGGGGGAAAAATGGGGGAAAAATGGGGGAAAATGGGGGAAAAATGGGGAAATGGGGGAAAATGGGGGAAAAATGGGGGAAAAATGGGGGAAAAATGGGGAAAAGGAAAATGGGGAAAAATGGGGGAAAATGGGGGGAAAAATGGGGGAAAAATGGGGGAAAAATGGGGGAAAAAATGGGGGAAAAATGGGGAAAATGGGGAAAATGGGGGAAAAATGGAGGGAAAATGGAAATGGGAAATGGGGAAAAATGGGAAAAATGGGGAAAAAATGGGGGAAATGGGGAAATGGGAAATGGGGAAATGGGAATGGGGAAAGGAAGGGAAAAAAAATGGGGGAAAAATGGGTACAAAATGGGGAAAATGGGGGAAAAATGGGGGAAAAATTGGGGGAAAATGGGGAAAAACGGGAAAAAAGGGGGAAAATGGGGGAAAATGGGGAAATGGGTGGGGGGGAGATGGGGGGGGAAATGGGGGGAAAATGGGGGGAAATGGGGGGAGAAATGGGGGAAAAATGGGGAAAATTGGGGGGAAAATGGGGGGGAAAATGGGGGAGAAAAATGGGGAAAATTGGGGGGAGAAATAGGGGAAAAATGGGAAAATTAGGGGAAAATGGGGAAAATACGGGGGAAATGTGGGAAATAGGGGAAAAAATGGGGGAATGGGGAAAATGGGGAAATTGGGGGAAATGGGGGAAAATGGGGGAAAATGGGGAAAAAATGGGGGAAAAATGGGGGAAATTGGGGAAAATGGGGAAAATGGGAAAAAATGGGGGGAAATGGGGAAAATGGGGAAAAATGGGGAAAAAAAATGGGGAAAAACGGGTCAAAGAAATAAAAAATGGGAGAAATGGGGGAAAATGGGGAAATAAGAAAAAATGGGAAAATGGGGAAAAAATGGGGAAATTGGGAAAAATGGGGAAAAAATGGGGGAAATGTGGAAAAATGGGGAAATGGGGGAAAAATGGGGAAAAAATGGGGGAAATGGGGCAAAAAATGGGGAAAATGGGTAAAAAATGGGTCGGAAATGGGGGAAGAATGGGAGGGAAATGAGAAAAAATGGGTCGAAAAATGGGGGGGAAATGGGGAAAAGGGTCAAAATGGGGGAAATGGGGCAACAAATGGGGAAATCAGAAAAAATGGGTCAAAAAATGGGGGAAATGGGGAAAAAATGGGGAATGGGGCAAAAATGGGGAAATGGGGAAAAATATTGGGAAAAATGGGGGGAAATGGGGGAAAAATGGGGGAATGGGGGAAAAATGGGGGAAAAATGGGGGAAATGGGTCAAAAAATGGAGGAAATGGGGAAAAATAGGGCAAAAATGGGGAAATGGGGGGAAATGGGGCAAAAATGGGGGAAATGGGGCAAAAATGTGGAAATGAGGAAAAATGGGGGAAATGGGGAAAATTTTGGGGAAATAGGGGAGAAATGGGGGAAAAAGGGGGGAAATAGTGGGGGAAATGGGGAAAAAGTGGGGGAAAGGGGGGAAAATAGGGAAAATAGGAAAAATGGGGGAAATGGGTCAAAAAATGGGGGGAAAGGGGGAAAAGGGGGGAAATGGGGAAAAGGGGGGAAATAGGGGGAAAATAGGGGGGAAAATAGGGGGAAATGGGGAAAAAAGGGGGAAAAAGGGGGAAATGTCAATGGGTGCCAATGGGAATCAATGGCACTCAATGGGTGCCAATGGCAGTCAATGGGTGTCAATGGGTGTCAAGGGGTGTCAATGGAGTCAATGGGTGTCAACGGCAGTCAATGGGTGCTGATGGGTACCAATGGAAGTCAATGGATGTCAACGGGTGCCAATGGCAGTCAATGGGTGCAATGGGCAACAATGGGTGTCAACGGGCGTCAACGGCACTCAATGGGTGTCAATGGGCGTCAATGAGTGTCAATGGGAGTCAATGGGTGCCAAATGGAAGTCAATGGGTGTCAATGGCACTCAATGGGTGTCAATGGCAGTCAATGGGTGCCAATGGCAGTCAATGGGTGTCAATGGCACTCAATGGGTGTCAACGGCACTCAATGGGCATCAATGGGTGCCAATGGCAGTCAATGGGTATCAATGGAAGTCAATGGCACTCAATGGATATCAATGGAAATCAATGGCACTCAATGGGCGTCAACGGCAGTCAATGGGTGCAAATGGGTGTCAACGGCACTCAATGGGAGTCAATGGGTGCCAATGGAAGTCAATGGGTGCCAATGGGTGCCAACGGCAGTCAATGGGTGTCAATGGCAGTCAATGGGAGTCAATGGGTGTCAATGGCAGTCAATGGGAGTCAATGGGTGCCAACGGCACTCAATGGGAGTCAATGGGTGCCAATGGCAGTCAATGGGTATCAATGGAAGTCAATGGCACTCAATGGGTGTCAATGGGAGCCAATGGGTGTCAATGGGTGTCAATGGGTATCAATGGCACTCAATGGGCGTCAATGGGCGTCAATGGCAGTCAATGGGTGTCAATGGGTGCCAACGGGTGCCAATGGCAGTCAATGGGTGTCAACGGCACTCAATGGGAGTCAATGGGTGCCAATGGCAGTCAATGGGTATCAATGGAAGTCAATGGCACTCAATGGGTGTCAGTGGGAGTCAATGGGTGCCAATGGGTGTCAACGGGTGTCAATGGCAGTCAATGGGTGCCAATGGCAGTCAATGGGCGTCAACAGCACTCAATGGGTGCCAATGGCAGTCAATGGATGTCAATGGGAGTCAATAGCAGTCAATGGGTGCCAATGGGTGCCAATGGGTGCCAATGGAAGTCAATGGCAGTCAATGGGCGTCAATGGGAGTCAATGGCAGTCAATGGGTGTCAATGGGTGCCAACGGGTGCCAACGGGTGCCCACCGCGGCGCAGACGCTCCGGGTCGATGCCGCCGGCGCCGCGCAGGAGCCGCAGGCGTTGGTGCCAGGCCGAGAAGTTGGAGAAGTCGCGGCGCAGGAGGCGCTCGCTGAACTCCAGCTCGGGGCCCAGAGCGCCGTGGGGCAGCCCCCGACGGTGCTCCCAGGCGTGGACTGCATGGGAGTCAATGGGGGTCAATGGGGGTCAATGGGGGTCAATGGGGGGCAATGGGGGGCAATGGGAGTCAATGGGGGCAATGGGGGTCAATGGGGGTCAATGGGGGTCAATGGGGGGCAATGGGGGTCAATGGGGGTCAATGGGAGTCAATGGGGGGCAATGGGGGTCAATGGGGGTCAATGGGAGTCAATGGGGGGCAATGGGGGTCAATGGGGGTCAATGGGAGTCAATGGGAGTCAATGGGGGTCAATGGGGGTCAATGGGGGTCAATGGGAGTCAATGGGGGGCAATGGGGGTCAATGGGGGTCAATGGGAGTCAATGGGGGTCAATGGAATCAATGGGGGGCAATGGGGGGCAATGGGGGTCAATGGGGGTCAATGGGGGGCAATGGGGATCAATGGGGGGCAATGGGGTCAATGGGGGTCAATGGGGGTCAATGGAGCCCAATTCACCCCACTCCATCCCAGTGCATCCCATTGGATCCCACTGGACCCCATTCCCACCCCATTGCACCCCATAGAACCCCATTCCCACCCCATTACACCCCATAGAACCCCATTCCCACCCCATAGAACCCCATTCCCACCCCATTGAACCCCATTCCCACCCCATTGCCTCCATTCCCACCCCATAGACCCCCATTCCCACCCCATTGCACCCCATTCTCACCCCATAGAACCCCATTCCCACCCCATAGAACCCCATACCCACCCCATTGCACCCCATTGCACCCCATAGGACCCCATTGCCTCCCATTCCCACCCCATAGAACCCCATTCCTACCCCATAGAACCCCATTCCCACCCCATTGCCTCCCATTCCCACCCCATAGAACCCCATTCCCACCCCATAGAACCCCATTCCCACCCCATTGCACCCCATTGCACCCCATAGAACCCCATTCCCACCCCATAGGACCCCATTCCCATCCCATTCCCACCCCATAGCCGGCCATTGCACATCATAGAACCCTATTCCCACCCCATTGCACCCCATTCCCACCCCATAGAACCCCATTCCCACCCCATTCCCACCCCATAGAACCCCATTCCCACCCCATTCCCACCCCATTGCACCCCATTCCCACCCCATTGCACCCCATTCCCACCCCATTGCACCCCATTCCCACCCCATAGAACCCCATTCCCACCCCATAGAACCCCATTCCCACCCCATTGCACCCCATTCCCACCCCATAGAACCCCATTCCCACCCCATAGAACCCCATTCCCACCCCATTGCCTCCCATTCTCACCCCATAGAACCCCATTCCCATCCCATTCCCACCCCATAGGACCCCATTCCCACCCCATAGCCGGCCATTGCACCCCATAGAACCCTATTCCCACCCCATTGCACCCCATTCCCCACCCCATGGAACCCCATTCCCACCCCATTGCCTCCATTCCCACCCCATAGACCCCCATTCCCACCCCATTGCACCCCATTCTCACCCCATAGAACCCCATTCCCACCCCATAGAACCCCATACCCACCCCATTGCACCCCATTGCACCCCATAGGACCCCATTGGCTCCCATTCCCACCCCATAGAACCCCATTCCCACGCCATAGGACCCCATTCCCACCCCATTGCACCCCATTCCCACCCCATAGAACCCCATTCCCACCCCATTGCACCCCATTGCACCCCATAGGACCCCATTCCCACCCCATAGGACCCCATTCCCACCCCATAGCACCCCATAGAACCCCATTCCCACCCCATTGCACCCCATTGCACCGCATAGGACCCCATTCCCACCCCATAGCACCCCATAGAACCCCATTCCCACCCTATTGCACCCCATTGCACCCCATAGGACCCCATTCCCACCCCATAGAACCCCATTCCCACCCCATAGAACCCCATTCCCACCCCATTCCCACCCCATAGAACCCCATTCCCACCCCATTGCACCCCATAGGACCCCATTCCCACCCCATAGAACCCCATTCCCACCCCATAGAACCCCATTCCCACCCCATTCCCACCCCATAGAACCCCATTCCCACCCCATTGCACCCCATAGAACCCCATTCCCACCCCATTGCACCCCATTCCCACCCCATTGAACCCAATTCCCACCCCATAGAACCCCATTCCCACCCCATTGCCTCCCATTCCCACCCCATAGAACCCCATTCCCACCCCATAGAACCCCATTCCCACCCCATAGAACCCCATTCCTACCCCATAGAACCCCATTCCCACCCCATAGCACCCCATAGAACCCCATTCCCACCCCATTCCCACCCCATTGCACCCCATTGCACCCCATAGAACCCCATTCCCACCCCATAGAACCCCATTCCCACCCCATTGCACCCCATAGAACCCCATTCCCACCCCATTGCACCCCATAGGACCCCATTCCCACCCCATAGCCCCCCCATAGCTCACAGTTCCTCGGATCGGCCTCCAGGAGGCGCTCGCAGAGGCGCCGCTCCCCCTCGGCTACAGCAACAGCATCGAGACCGGCGGGCGCAGGGACCCAGCGGAGCTCCCCATTGCCTTCAATGGGACCGGCGGGCGCAGGGACCCAGCGGAGCTCCCCATTGGATTCAATGGGACCGGCGGGCGCAGGGACCCAGCGGAGCTCCCCATTGCCTTCAATGGGACCGGCGGGCGCAGGGACCCAGCGGAGCTCCCCATTGGATTCAATGGGACCGGCGGGCGCAGGGACCCAGCGGAGCTCCCCATTGGATTCAATGGGACCGGCGGGCGCAGGGACCCAGCGGAGCTCCCCATTGGATTCAATGGGACCGGCGGGCGCTAGGACCCAGCGGAGGACCCAGGCCCGGTGGTGCCAGGCCCCATAGGATTTGGGGTTCACCCCCAGGCAGCTCGCAACGAACGTCAGCTCCGACTCCAGCCTGCCCCATAGAGACCCATAGAGACCCATAGAGACACATAGAGACACATAGAGACCCATAGAGACACATAGAGACACATAGAGACACATAGAGACACATAGAGACACATAGAGACCCCATAGACACCCCATAGAGACCCATAGAGACACATAGGGACACATAGAGACCCATAGAGACACATAGAGACACATAGAGACACATAGGGACACATAGAGACCCCATAGACACCCCATAGAGACCCATAGAGACACATAGAGACCCCATAGAGACCCATAGAGACACATAGGGACACGTAGGGACCCCATAGAGACCCATAGAGACCCATAGAGACCCATAGACACCCCATAGAGACCCATAGGGACCCATAGAGACCCCATAGAGACCCATAGGGACCCATAGAGACCCCATACAGACCCATAGGGACCCATAGAGACACATAGAGACCCATAGAGACCCATAGGGACCCATAGAGACCCCATACAGACCCATAGGGACCCATAGAGACACATAGGGACCCATAGAGACCCCATAGAGACCCATAGAGACCCATAGGGACCCATAGAGACCCATAGAGACCTCATAGAGACCCATAGAGACCCCATAGACACCCCATAGAGACCCATAGGGACCCATAGACACCCCACTGAGACCCATAAAGAGCCCATACAGACCTATAAGGACCCATAGAGACCCATAGAGACCCCATAGAGACCCACAGAGACCCCATAGAGACCCATAGAGACCCATAGAGACCCCATACAGACCCATAGGGACCCATAGAGACCCATAGACACCCCATAGACACCCCATTGAGACCCATAGAGAGCCCATACAGACCTATAAGGACCCATAGAGACCCCATAGAGACCCACAGAGCCCCATAGGGACCCATAAACCCATTGCCCCCCATTGCCCTCCGCAGCCAATGGGAGGCCTCGTTACTCACCACTGCCCCGGGGGCTCCAATAGCAGCGCTTCCCGGCGCCACCCCCAGCACGTGGCCACGTCCGGATTGGCCGCCAGCACCGAGGCCGTCAGGGCCAGCACCGAGCCCCCCGTCTATGGGGAGCCGTGGGGCTGGGCTTAGGGGTCAATGGGATCTATGGGGCTGGGGAGCATTGGGAGCTATGGGGCTGGGGTTCATAGGGATCTATGGGGCAGAGTTGGGGGTCACTGTGATCTATGGGGCTGGGGTTCATAGGGATCTATGGGGCAGGGGTGGGGGTCACAGGGATCTATGGGGCAGGGTTGGGGTTCACAGGGATCTATGGGGCAGGGTTGGGGGTCACAGGGATCTATGGGGCTGGGTTGGGGGTCACAGGGATCTATGGGGCAGGGTTGGGGTTCATAGGGATCTATGGGGCAGGGTTGGGGGTCACAGGGATCTATGGGGCAGGGCTGGGGGTCACAGGGATCTATGGGGCAGGGTTGGGGGTCACAAGGATCTATGGGGCTGGGGTTCATAGGGATCTATGGGGCAGGGTTGGGGTTCACAGGGCTCTATGGGGCAGGGTTGGGGGTCACAGGGATCTATGGGGCTGGGGCTCATAGGGATCTATGGGGCTGGGGGTCACAGGGATCTATGGGGCAGGGTTGGGGGTCACAGGGATCTATGGGGCAGGGTTGGGGGTCACAGGGATCTATGGGGCTGGGGTTCATAGGGATCTATGGGGCAGGGGTGGGGGTCACAGGGATCTATGGGGCAGGGTTGGGGTTCACAGGGATCTATGGGGCAGGGGTGGGGGTCACAGGGATCTATGGGGCAGGGTTGGGGGTCACAGGGATCTATGGGGCAGGGCTGGGGGTCACAGGGATCTATGGGGCAGGGTTGGGGGTCACAGGGATCTATGGGGCAGGGTTGGGGGTCACAGGGATCTATGGGGCAGGGGTTCACAGGGATCTATGGGGCAGGGTTGGGGGTCACAGGGATCTATGGGGCAGGTTTGGGGGTCACAGGGATCTATGGGGCAGGGTTGGGGGTCACAGGGATCTATGGGGCAGGGCTGGGGGTCACAGGGATCTATGGGGCAGGGTTGGGGGTCACAGGGATCTA